GGGGGCGAGTGTGTAATACAACACCAACTGCATCCCGTAATATTTTTTTGTCTTGAAAACATTTGTTCTGTATGTCACGAGAAAACCGGAAATTAAAGTAGTGAATATGATAATAAAAAGAAATTATGTTTATTGCGCATTGAGTTATTTTTTGGTTGGACAGTTAGTGACATTTTTAAAATTTGTGATAGCTCCGTACGCCCAACGTTACACACACGACCACGTCACTGGTAAAATTATTATATGAGTATTAAATTAAAGTATATATATATAATATAAAATACAATTTTTGGACGCAGCTGCAGTAGTACCGTGTCTATACATAATACGAAGCCACGATCGCGTGTCCTGCAAACAGATAGGTACTCCAACGGCGATTGTGCTCCAAATTTACGTAGGTTGGCGCAACATAAATAATAATACATGCCCATTGAACAAAATTCTCATTCATAATTCATATTAAAAAACTGAATGTTATAAATAAAAAAAAAAAAATGTATTAACGTTTATAAAAAAAAACCCGAGGAAAACAAAAAAACAATAAAGCGTTTATACAGTGTTGTGTGGTAGTATGGGCAATATTTTTGCACTGCTGTAGTACAGACATAATATTTACGGCAATTTTGACAATAGATTTAGCTCACTAAAATATATAATGAATATTTAGAATTAACCATAGCCAAAGCTCAAGCTCCAAAAAGTTGATAAAAACAACTTTTGCATCGTTAATAATTAATTACAAATATTATTATAATATCATTATAATAAGAAATATTTTAGTATCCTCTTCTTCATTTAAAGAGATTCCTACTAGTGATAAAATGTCAGACCTATATAATTATTACATTATAATACGACGAAAACGAAATATATTAGACTTAATAATCTTTTATGAACACATTATAAATCACAAATTAAAATATACACTTTCAATTTTCAAGTAATCAGATTAATGTGTAATTCCACGCTGTGATTCGAGATGAAAATAAATGTACCATTCGGATTCAATTTTTAACGAGAAACGGAAAAAATTGCAAGTAAACGCACTATAATGTTTACTGGGTACCAGGTAGTGAAATATTCGTCAATCTCATGCGGATATTCTAATACACGACTTTTTACTAAAACCCAGAAGAACACCAATTAATTAAGCGTGACAAAATTTATTTGGGGTGTTTATTTAATATTTTACAAAGCGTGAAATGAGGAACCCGGTGAAAAGGCATATCGGGCACGTTTTTAATAGAAATTATTACACCGTGTCACTGTCAACAATTGGTAATTGATCCAGATTATGCAAAACAATCGTTTAATAATGATGCGTATCTGTGAATTTAGATTTTATCTCTTATAACTGACATTTTATTTTTACCATAGAATATAAAATTAAATAAGATAAACAATTTAGAGCTGAGACGATAATGATAAAAAAAAATATAGAATTATTTAATTTGATTTAGTGTTTCAGAAAAAAGAAACAATAATACTTATAGATTTTGAAATGTTTTAATGATACACAAAATAAACTATTAATGACAGTTACATTATACCAGAATAAAAGTTTTTGGAAGCGATGTTCATAAACATTTTCAAAGTTTAGTCGATTATATCTCTGGGGAATCTCAAAAAGGCAAAAGGTATATATTCGCTATGGAAAATTTATGGGTTTACAAAAATTACAGATAAACGTTTAGACGAATGACAAAGATTTAAAAGTTCTATGTATGTTCAAAACTTTGGATTAGAAAATACAAAAAGTTATTGAAAAAAAAAAAGTAGTTTCCAAGTATAAAACATAAATTTTATTTGAAAACATATTAATACCTACCTAGCTAAAGTTATCACATGAATTTTAAAAGATAAACAGACATTTGATTATGATATTTTAAAATGTATAGCGTTCTTTTGAATTTTTAACTTATGAACGATATATTAATGTATACAACATAAAAATGTAGAGACACTAATATCTTCTAATATACTTCTAATATTGTATATACCACAGCGATTTGACTAATTTTTAAAAAAATATATTCAAAATTGTACGTGAAACCATCTGTGCCAATTATCTAAATTAGGTTAATAACAAAAAATGGTTTTATTTTATGACCAAAAAAAAAACGTTAGTTAAAAAGTTAGTGACAAAAAAATATTTGTAACCCCCCCCCCCCCCTATTAATACTTAAAGCTAATAATTAATTTACCACTGTAAAATATATATTGTTTGTAATTCAATAAATTAAGAAACTGTTACAGTGTAAATTAAAAAGTATTTCTAATTCTAATGCATATCCATTTTAAAATTACTCAATTCATATTATCAGTTAATTTTAATTCAAAAAGATGGTAAAATGTAAACCAATTTGATGTATTTTGTCTTGTAAGTATCTACATGTATAATAATATGTTTATGTTTTCGTCTTCAACACGGAACTATTATATGTATCTCATTAGGAACAAAATTATAATGATATTAGTTATTTCATATAAAATACGATATTGTTCCTAAAATTAAATTTATTTGTATTTCAATTCCTAACTTTCGTACTACATGAGTTATATATTATTCACCAACTAGTACTTCATCCCATCGAGTGTTAAATTTTTAGATTGTTTTTATTAAGTTAGTTTTTCATGAATGAAAAGGAAAAACACAACCATCGATATCGATTTATATTTTTCGCATTTTCAATGGTATCATACAACATGCACATGGTCTATATAACTTTAGTCCGGTGAGTCCTATGCTACAGCCGACTTTGTTTACGACCTGCACGCCGTCAGGAGAAGAATATTTAAGTACGGGAATTTTACGAGTCTCGCATGAATTTAACAGGACGCATTATTTCTGCGCAAAATGCGATAAAACACGCGACAGTTTCTTCTGTACGGGGCCATTTCACTCAAGCCGCAAAAGACTCAAACGTGACGACGAACAGCAATAATTCGTTAGATAACCAAACTTTTGTGCTATAGCAGACACACACACACACACACACACACACCACTTACGTATCCGTCTGATTAGGTACATTGGACAGACAGTATATTGTTCCACTTAAAGTCCTTACGGAATTTCACATGTCGCTTTGGTTTTGGTCAAACGCACGCGATCTCCGCCGTGAATGGGATGTCGGTATTGGGCTTCTATGTATAATAATTGTCCACAAATAAAATAAACGTGAGCAGAAATTAGTGTAATTTAAAAACATTAAATCGGGACAGTGTATAAAAATATCTGACGCCTTCTATTATCTAATTAATTGTTTAGTATGAAAATTTAGTTGATAATGTACATCGACATTCGACGATTTGTCTACAACAAGATACAGTCGTAATGTACAATAATTTTTATCGATGTATTTAAATACTTATTTATAGTAAGTACTTAGAAAGTATTTTAAATACAACTGATTGAATGTATTTGTAATTTAAAATCAAATGATTTTATGTAAATGCTTATCAAAATGCAAAAGACATGAAATGAGTCAAATTTTGTATTTTAATTAATATTTAAGTATATATCAGAATTGAAACTTAACAAACTTTTATACAATACATTATTCATTTTTCAATATAAAATTAAGTACACATATGACATATATAATAAAACATTAATAGAATTACTGATTACTAAAATTTTAAATTGATTAAGTTATTACTAATTACAAAATGTCTTGCCTACTTGTACAGTTAATTAAATTAAATAAAAATAATATTTGATAATTACGAGTATCTAAATATATTCCAAGTATTTGTTTTTGTTCTTAAATACTTTTTCTTAAAAGTGTTTGAAATTTATTTTAAATACTTTCTAAATGGATAAATTGTATGCTTTTATGTATTTAAATTAAAATTATTTTAATAATTATTTTTTACAAAACTGCAGTACATATTATATGTGAACCGTGAAAAATAATAATTTAATAGGTATGCCATAATTTATTTAAATACCCATCCAAACTATGCCTTTAAACTCATTGTTTATTGTATGTTTTATCTTTTATCACTTATGAATGGATGTAAAATATAATAAAAACATTTTCTGTCATTGATAAATACTACGTCAAATTAAAATAAAAATGCAAAACAAAATAGTTTCAAAACACTATTGAAAACAGTATAATACGTGTTTGTATTGTTTACTTTTTTTTTTTGTTTATGTATATGATATAATATTCGAACAATTCAAGATGCGCGGCCAAGAGAGCTGTACATTTAGTAGTACTCAGTAGTAGGTCATATAATTGATACTATTTTTTAATAACTTTTAGTACAATGAAGATAAACGGTAACTGGTATGGTATTACATAACATTAAGTTATAATTCTATTGTCTTAAAAATAAGTAATATAATATTATAATGGTAATAAAAGAAGAGATGAAATAATAGTCACCTGAGTCACAATAGGACACAAGCATTTATTCCACCCCTTTCTCATCACCAAATAACTGGCGAAACCCCACGAAAGGTATATATTATCCTATAGCCTAACTCTAACAGTCACTTAACGAAAAAAACACAAATGAAGTATTATATTTTTTTTTTTCCATAAACTTATATTAATATATACTAATATAGTAATATATAAACTTATATATTAAACTTTATACTATAAATAATTATAAATAATGTTGTTTTGTATTACTCATAACCTGGATATCAAATCTAAAAGAAGGCTAAATAACCATAGTTGTTGTCGAAGCTTTAACAGATAAAAAAAAAAAATATTAGTATAAAGGTAATTCTTTTTGACTTGTGAATTCTCTTGAACGTATTACTTTTTCGTCCTCGGACAAACCAGCTGCTTATTATATAGGTACACTTCTCAATAGTCTCCACTTTTACACATGTGTATTCTTTTATCAATTACTATAAACAATATAATATAACAACTATAAGGTGTAAATATAAAGTACTATTTATACTATTTCATTTATATTAAGTAATATTATTATGTTTTTTTTTAGGTTATATTGGTGCTAAAAAGCATTAACTATTATGAAATCACGGCTATCAGTGTCATCGTCCAGATAGTCAGCCATTGTCTTGCGTACACCAACTCATGCCTGAATCCAATATTATACGCGTTCTTGTCAGAGAATTTCCGGAAGGCATTCAGAAAAGTGATAATTCCATGGAGACCGGAAGTGAACGTCCAAGGGAGATTTGCAAATGGAGACGCCCGGTCGATGGCTGTCACTAGGACGACTAGGACGACTAACAACGACATACTTTGAAATACTGGAATGAAAACTTCGAAATTCAACCAAGGATAAAACATTTAAGGTATATTTTATATAAATTAAAACTATTTAAATAGGTACAGATGTGAATTAACTCAATGTAATTTATTGAGATCTTGTGAGGTAAGTGTGACGTGAAAAAGCAAAATTGATACAAAATGCATCCCTACAGTTTCTTTTTTCAAATTTTTTTTGGGATTAAATAGTAATTAACAAACAGAATAAAATATAGTTGTTTTTAAACTAATTTTCAATGATTAAATTGTTCAACGAGAAAAACCACAGCTCGTTGACTATATTACAAGCAACCGGTACAATGTACATGGTATGATTTAGTTAGGATTATTTCACGCTGTCCTATAATTCCCCATTATGTGTTATTATACAGTAGCAAAATAATAAAATGGAATGAAATAAGTGATCTGGCGAACGTGGTCTACCGACTACCAGAATTTATGTGGACATTTTTGTACAAGCTCATTCAAAAAACGTTTCAATTAAATTGGAATTGCAGGTCTATTTTTAAAAAATTGTTTTAACTTGGTTAGGATATGTTTGTGGCTTATACAAGCAACAGTTTCCAATGAATATCGTTGTATTAAAATATTTTTAAAAGTGTTTATTCATTACACAGTAAAGTTGCTAATTGCTATTCGATACGAATTGCGACAGAGAATAAACGATTAAGGAGTACCGGTAAACATAATGAATATTATGCATTCTTTACTATACCTACTCGTGTTTGATATTTATACTTAACGAAATACATGAAATTATTATTATTATTATTATTATTTCATGTACATAATATTAGGTATATACTGTGACTGCCCTGTATTTCTATTATGGGAAAAAATGACTAAATCTCTCCAGCGTGGGAGGCTGGTGAGACTTTATTATTAGCTTAAAACGTAAACCCGATTTATTTTGTTGAAGTTGATCATTACGATGCACTTTTATATAGCTTAATAATAACTTTAGTAATAAAAGAAACTAATCGGCTTGACAAAAAAAAATATACCATATTTTATTTTCAGCTACCTGTATTTCGATTCAAATCCAAACAGGTAAAATATTTCTCATGAATATTAACATGGAGCGTATTAACATGATATCTATTATATAAAAATAAGTCCGGTTTTCCTCCCTGACGCTATAACTCGAGAACGCACGAACCGATTTCCACGGTTTTGCATTCGTTGGAAAGGTCTTGGGCTCCGTGAGGTTTATAGCAAAGAAAATTCTGGAAAATTCAGGAAAAATTCAACAGAAAAGTGGGGAAATCGTTTTTCACATACAGCGCCATCTATTATACATAGCATGTACTTCAAACCAATAGCAACGGTGCGTGATAAAGTGTTTGACAGATAGTCATTATTCTCTGCTCAGTTAATTTCATTTAAGCTAAAATAAATTATGTAAATTATGTGGATCGTGCATTTGAAGTTAAATTCAACACTCTGTCCATAGTCCAAAATGCCTAGAGAACGACGTGCGAACATCGGCCGCCGCACAAGACATGCAAGCCAGCAACAAGTCTATTCAAGGAACTTAAGAGAAGAAAGACAAAATATAATAAGAGAAAATGACCGATTGAGACATCGCGTGAGCACACGAAGATCATTGGCATCATACAATCGCTTGGCATTCCAATATGATCCCACTGCGAACTACAGTGATGATGAAAATTTTGATATTGGACGAATGACGACTATATGCCGATATTGCAATGCGTTAAAGTTCAAAAGAGAAACGGTTGGATTGTGCTGCGCAAGTGGAAAAGTCAAACTGGATCCATTACTTACACCACCACAGCCACTGAAAACATTGTTTGATGGAAGTGATCCCGATTCCAGCCATTTTCTTCAACACATCCTTGAATACAATAACTGCTTTCGCATGACTTCCTTTGGAGCTAATATCATTCGAGAAGGCGGCTTCATGCCGACTTGCAAGGTAAAAGATACAATACACATAACCAACACATAATTGCAACACATAACAACTTCATATACACCACACACTACACAATCACACGATTTACAATGTATTCATGAACAAATTTTAATGATTATTTGCAATTACAGATACAAGGTCAAATATATCATTTGCATGGTTCAATGGTGCCAACCACACCAGATGAACCGCATCAATTTCTGCAAATATATTTCATTTCGTCGATGGTGGATCAGCTGAACGTGCGGTGCAATATACAGGGAGCACAACATTATAAATAAATTATCCAACGGAGTTTTTGAACTCTCTGGAGATACCAGGATTTCCACCACATAACTTGCAACTGAAAGTTGGTACGGTTATTTTGATACTGCGTAATTTGAATCCACCGCGACTTTGCAACGGTACTCGACTTTCGGTAAAGAGACTTATGCCGAATTTAATTGAGGCAACCATTATTAACGGAAAGTACGCAGGTGAAAATGTATGTATTCCTCGAATACCAATGATTCCGACTGATCTTCCGTTTGACTTCAAACGATTGCAATTCCCAGTTCGCCTTGCGTTCGCAATGACAATTAATAAGTCGCAAGGCCAATCGCTTAGTGTTTGAGGGATAAATTTGGAAAATCATTGTTTTTCACATGGACAGTTATACGTTGCGTGTTCACGAGTTGGGAAACCATCCGCTTTGTTTGTGTTAACGTCAAACCAAAAAACAAAAAATGTGGTTTACCAAAGAGCACTACAATGAAACAATTAAATAACACTTCATTTTAGTAGGTAATTGAAATGAATTTATTACTGTTGTGAAATGAAATAAATATTTTCCTTTTCAAATATATAACAAAAAAAATTTTTTTCTTTATATTTTAATCACCAAACGAAAAAAAACATAAAACGAATCTGGTGGCGAAACGGAGTTCGCCGGGTCTGCTAGTTCAATATAAATTAGTTTTTATTTATTTGTCTTTTAAATGAAATGAATAAAACTAAAACAATTTTAAAATATTAATACATTCTTTTTTAACATTTCTGGCTATAAATTACAATTTATTTTTATTGAACAGGCATAATATGTATAAGTAAGATCATTTTTCTTTGGAAGAAATTTGTTTTTACATCCTATTTATAAAGACTTATTATGAACAAAAAGGTGTGTGAAAGAAAATAATAATAGAAGTTTAGACATGGTGAGCTTCTTAAAACAGTTTGGTTGGATACAGACTTTGGTAAGAAATCGGGAACGCTCCTAAATTTTTGGTGACTATAGTCCCCATTCAACATTTTGCCCTCTTAACCACTTTCTATAGATATTAATATTATAGTAATATTTTTTACGATTAGTAATAGCCAATAGGTTAGAATAAATTATTTTTTTAATTGCATTTACAGTAAGTTTTATCAATATTTAATTACTTAAAATAGTATCTTAATACTATATAATATATACAATATACCATGACAAATTAGATAGGTATCATCACAGTTGTACTAGTTTTGCTCAGTAAATACACATCTCCTTTACCTCCTGTCTATATCGTAGTTCTCCACTTCTCATTGGTTGATTTTGTTCTATGTTATATGTGTATGTATATGATTGATAGCCAATAAGAAGTGGAGAACTACGATAGTAAAGAGCGGAAGATGCGTATCAAAATACTGTGATGATACCTATCTAATTTGTCATGCAATATACATTCAAGATTGAATCAATAGGTACTGACTTATCATAGAACGGTGATAACTGATAATAAGTTTTTGGTATATACTATATATAGGCAATGGCTTAAAATGTATCTAAATATTTTAAAAATGGAACTGTGTATATAAAGATTACTAAACGTTGTCCTTCATCCATTTTTCCGAGTGACAATATGATAAATGAAAATATCATAATATACATAAAAGTTTCAAGTCCCGACGAATAATATTTTTGAATTACTACAAAGTAATTAAAACATTTAAAACCGTTATTCTTTATTTAAATATATATAACTTCGTGCAAATTTTAGCTTAAAATATCTAAGAAAAATTGTTTGATAATTTTTGATTTGTAAATAGCTATAAAAATAACCCAAAATGAGGTATTGTATTAAATGTTTAACCTTTTTAACCCAAAAACAAAAATTTTACCTATCCTTCAACATAAACGAAAAAAAGTAACTTTAAGTTGAAAATTTAAAATACTTTTATTAATAAGTAATATAATAACACAAAACGAGTTAAAGTAGTTTAAGTTTTTCGTGTCTAGTAAATTCTAGTATGCTTTTCAGTTATTTTTGAAAAATTAATATCAATTTTGAACTTTGACCCCCCCCCCTTCCAAAATTACCGACTAGATTCACTTTTATTAAAACAAATAAAAAAAGACATCATTCTCTGTTGAGAATCTAAAATATTATAAATAAATATTAGAATATTATTGTATTAGCTTGGATAAAATTAATTGCAGAAACATTTGAGTTGTAAAATTAAATAACTTTACTACCTACTATATTTCATATATTATAAAATATAATTATTATTACAATATTAACATATTTTATTTTGTTTTATTAATAGATTTAGTAAAATAATTAATTTACAGTTATTTATTTCATTTTTCTTTTACTATAATCAAGGATATTATTAAAAAAAAAAAACCATCTCTATAAACATTCCGTATCATGTATACTACTATACTATCTCTAAAAATTATCTTGGCACTCAATAGTAGTAGTTATATGATTTACCAATGAATTCTTTCCGAATATCTTAACCATAAGTTATAGTTATAAAAAAAATATAAAAATGTCAAGTACATAATATTATACTTATATACCCTATGAATAAGCTAAATAATATATTTTATAATTTGTGTTCAAAACAAACTCCATTAAAAACTTTGTTTCTCATTTTCTTTGTTTATAGGTATGTTTCCAATTGTGTCAGCTAATAATATAATACACACTATAGTTATAAATTATACATATTATTTAGACGGTGATATATGATACCATGTTTTTAAATAATTTTTATGGTTGTTTTGATATACTTTCAATATGACTAACAAATCACAATATTAAAATCAGTACCTTGG